GATGCGAGCCTGAGAGGGGTGATTATTCCAGGTAGCGGAGACCTGCAGGTCTAACCTTTACTGTACAAGGATGACGTCGCTGTTTCCTGTTTGGATCTGCTGTTAGTGTGCAGACTCATGAGCATCTGTGACCAATTCGAACTGGTCTCAGGAGCCAAAGTAAACAGAGACAAGAGCGAAGCCACATTCTTTGGGACCTGCACCGACCGATCCTTTATCCCCTTCACCGTCAAGAAAGTTCTGGGAATATAGTTTGGAGGGGCCGGAGCATTTGCAAAAACTTGGGAGGAGTGTATCACCAAGGTGAGGCAGAAACTGGGCCTTTGGGAGCTCTCCATTTCAGGTTAAAACCAAGTCATCAGGTGTGATGTACTCTCTCTGTTTTTGCGCACAGCGCAGGTGTCGCCTGTTCCCAGAACCTGCCTTGTTGCAGTCACTCGAGCCATCTTCCACTTCATCTGCAGATCTAAGGTGGACCGTGTCCGCAGGGATACCATGTACAAAGCTCTGGATAAGGGGGGGGAGTCGGGAGAAGAGTGCGGCGAATGCACCCAATGCTGTCCTCATCCTGATGGCCACATTCATGTGTGGCTGCATCAAGCTGTGCAGCAACCCTTGGTATGCAAACTAAAACGTCACTACGTACTGAGATTCTACCTATTCCCCGATGTTGTGAAGGATGGGACTGGGCTTGGCACCGCAGAAAACCCCAAGTAGTTGGACCATTCCGTATCACCTGTCCTTCGTGCAGAAATCTGTAAAGAAAACACTTTTGACTCGATCAGGAAATGGTCAGCGCGTAGTATCCTCGAGTCCCTCTGGAAAAAGGAGAGGGTGGATCCTGTCCCCTGAGCAGACTGTCAAAGTCATTTGGCAGAATGCCTCAATGCCAGAACTTTAAAACAAACACCAAGACTTTGCTTGGCTGGTGGCGAGAAGGGCACTACTTGTGAGATTCTTCGTTTTTTTTTCTTTTACAGCACAGTACAGGCCCTTCGGCCCATGATGTTGTGCCGAACTTTTACCCTAAACCTAAGGTCTACCTAACCTCCACCCCTACCTTATACTATCATTCATATGCCTATCTAATAGCCACTTAAATGCCCTTAATGAGGCCGACTCCACTACCCTCTCTGGCAATGCATTCCACGCCCCTACCACTCTCTGAGTAAAGAACCTAACTCTGACATCTCCCCTATATCTACCTCCACTCACTTTAAAACTATGCCCCCTCGTAATAGCTACCTCCACCCTAGGAAAAAGTCTCTGGCTGTCCACTCTATCTATATCTCTGATCATTTTGTACACCTCTATCAAGTCACCTCTCATCCTTCGTCATTCTAAAGAGAAAAGCCCTAGCTCTCTCAACCTTTCCTCGTAAGACCTTCCCTCCATTCCAGGCAACATCCTGGTAAATCGCCTCTGCACCTTTTCCAACGCTTCAACATCTTTCCTGTAATGAGGCAACCAGAACTGGACACAATACTCCAGATGTGGCCAAACCAGGCTTTTGTACAGCTGGAGCATAACTTCACGGCTCTTGAACTCAATCCCGCTATTAATGAAAGCTAACACACGATACAACTTAACAACTCTATCCACCTGGGTGGCAGCTTTCAGAGAACTGTGGACATGAACCCCAAGATCCCTCTGCTCCTTCACACTGCCAAGAATCTTTCCATTAACCCTGTATTCTGCTTTCAAATTTGTCCTTCCAAAATAAATCACCTCACACTTTTCAGGGTTAAACTCGATCTGCTACTTCTCAGCCCAGCTCTGCATCCTATCAATGTCCCTTTGTAACCTAGAACAGCCCTCCGCACTATCCACAACTTGACCCACCTTCGTATCATCCGCGAACTTACTAATCCACCCTTCCACTCCTCCATCCAAATCATTTTCAAAAATCACAAATAGTAGAGGACCCAGAACAGATCCTTGTGGTAGACCATTCGTAACTGAGCATCATGTTGAATATTTTCTGTCCACTACCACCCTTTGTCTTCTAAGGGTCAGCCAATTCTGAATCCAATCTGCCACATTTCCCCCTATCCCATGCCTCCTTACTTTCTGCACGAGCCTACCATGGGGAGTCTTATCAAACGCCTTACTTAAATCCATGTATACCACGTCCACTGCTCTACCTTCATCCACGTGTTTGGTTACCTCTTCAAAGAATTCAATAAGGTTTGTGAGGCATGATCTACCCTTCACAAATCCATGCTGATTATCACGCATCAAACTGTGCCTATCGAAGTGATCATAAATCCTATCTCTCAGAGCCCTTTCCAATAATTTGCCCACCACTGACGTAAGACTAACTGGCCTGTAATTTCCGGGGTTATCCCTATTCCCTTTTTTGAACGAGGGAATGACGTTTGCCTCTTTCCAATCTTCCGGCACTATACCCGTGAACAGTGAGTTTATGCTTGGATTTTCTGTGCCACCGCACTCGAAGCGGCTGCAGGGGTGTAGAAACTGTCACACATCTCCTTCTGGAATGTGCCTTTGCAAAGGAAGTCTAGAGTGAGATGCAGTGGGTCTTGTCGAGGTTATGTCCTGAGCAGCTCTGTGATACAGGACTATGTGCTCTACAGGCTGTTTCCTGGGATGCACACCGAGACAAACATCAACTGCGCCTGGAGGACTATCAACATGGTGAAAGCTGCTCTTTGGTCTGCGTGAAACTTGTCAGTCTTCTACAGCAAGGAGTTGACCTCGACCAAGTGTTGCAGACTGGCTCATTCCAAGGTCCAGGATGATGTGCTGAGGGATGCACTAAAGCCAGGGGCAGCCACCGCCAAGGCACAGTGGGGAAAGACCATCAGCCAAGGTCTTTATGCCAAAGTGCAATGGGAATCCATTCAGTTATCGGAACCTCCCAGTGCCTCATATGTATGTAAATATAACCTTGTATAGGAAAGAGGAAACCTTGGGTTTGCTTGTTCTGCACATGTACAGAACCGAACTGCTCTCATGACCTTGTATGTAATATAAAGATTTTTTATGAATCCTGTATATTTTTGGAATAAAAATTGCATTATAATGAACTATATTTATTTCTGAATGTATTGTGTTTGAATTTGATTCAACAGTTTGATTTTGACTATTTGACTTTACCTGGTGTTTCAGTTCAAATGGGAGCCTGATCTCATGATACCTCGTCATCTTGGTGAAAAGGTGAGCACAAGGCATGATGTCCTCGGATAGTCACTGTTCCTTTCTGGACAAGTTTAGTACTTTTTAAATATCTTGTTTAATTTTCATTAAAGTATTTATTACATATTATTATTTTGAACACTTCATATCTTATATACCCCGAGGCAAGACATTGTCCCACACTAAGAATGTTTCAATGCCTTATGGATATAAGCCAGATGTAAAGTTCATTCATGTATATAAACTGAGATTACTTAATCGCTTAACAATTTTTTAAAAAAATTTCAGTTAACTACAGTTTTAATCACATATTTAATTGATACATTTATCACATCTCTGTCATTCAACAGTGTTTTTAACTGATAAAGTACAATCAATCATAAATAAAAAGTCTATTTTCTCTTCCTGTACAGAGGTTGCTAGTCCCTTTTTTTTACTAGTTCATACTTACTTCTAAAGAAGCACCAAGAACGAAATTATAACTAAATTGTTTACTGAAAAAGAGAACAATAATAAATATTGTGTCATTATGTCCAAACACGCAAATTAAAAATATTGGGAGCCTTCATGCAGCCATAGGGCAAGAGCAAGTGCAACACAACCAAAACATAGTTAGAGCTTCATTAAAAAGAATAAAAAGATAAGTAATGGACAGAGCAATAGTGCTATTGGTTATCAGCCCAACACAATTTTATGGATTTATTTCTGTGATTCACTGTCTACTGATGTGTATCACGCACTGACAAGAACTGAACAGTTACAATATTTGCCATTAAAGAATGTTGTTGCCTATACACCCACAGTTCAGCTCTGCTGGGGATCAGAAATCACAGTAATTTGTTTTGACAATTGCTTGCGTGATAAAAAAAAAGTGCTAAATGGAAGTCTTTCATTCTAGTTCGCCATCAACTAATGCTGGAATGCACCACATGATACCTGCTGCTAGAAGTCTGATTGGCAAACATTGATTGATTAATTGATTGATTTATTGTCACGTGTACCGAAATACAGTGAAAAGCTTTGTTTACAAACGGTAGAAGCAGATCATAATAAGCAAAGGATGTCCTGATCAAAAAGACTCAGACAGAGGCACACAGATTACATTGCACAGGGCGCGCGCGCTAGATAAGATCAACATTAGCAATATCAACCTTACTTGAGGGTAAAAAGTCCATTCATCAGTCTGATAACAGCCGGGGAGAAGC